TCTGGCAGACCCTCCGCCGTGGCCGGATCATTGTCATTGTCATTGTCATTGTCAAAGTTAAAGGGTTGTTGCTGCTGCTATCGTTATCGTGACTAACTGACTGACTCACTCACACCAAGTAGGTTTATGTTTAAACTGCACTTGAAAATGTGGATAGAAGGGTACGCCCACAGTCGCTGTGCATTCTGGCTTGAACTATCACGTTTGTGCTTTTCGCAGGAGGTACCGAGATTTCAACGCTGACGGTCCCCGTGCTGTTGATTTTTCGGGTTTTGTTTTGCTACCTTGTTTTTCCTTCACTTGTCCGTCCTCATCCTCCTGCCCTCCTGATTCCTGCCGTTAGTTTGTAAGTACCCGTTCAAATACATGGAGGAGATGCGCGATGAGGCAGCACTTTGCTGTGCCTCTCGGTGGATCGTGTAATCCTCACAAACTGTTTGCAATCCAAATAGTGTGTCGCTGTCCCTGTATATATCGCGGATAAAATGCTTTCAAACACTCTGATTATATGCTCTGCCTTGCCCTAATCTGGATAATGTATAAAATGTAGTTCTGTAACGTGTTTAGGCTCGCAGATTAACCATAAAACCCAGTAAAAAAAAGTTACTCGGTGAGGCAAACAGTACGCCTAAATCTTAACCTCAAATTAAATATGGGTCACGTTTGTGTGAAGAATGCTGATATGAGATATAAAACAACGCATTGTCTATTAACAGACAATTTGTATTTGTAAATCTGACTGTAAAAGAGTTAGTGTAACTTATTATTTCTAGTTAGAAATAAGCTCAATTGGAATAAATTTTAACCTCAAATTAAATATGGGTCACGTTGGTGTGAAGAATGGTGATATGAGATATAAAACATAACGCATTGTCTGTTAACAGACTATTTGTATTTGTAAATCTGACTGTAAAAGAGTTAGTGCCTCACCAGCTGTCAACCTCATCGCACGTCACTGAAAACCACTGACCAGCACATGTAATGTTAAAATAACCCCACATTGCCTAGAAATAAATACAGTCTCACTGGGGTTTCGTTTCCACTTGCAGAATTGTTTTAGGACAGGAGATAATTCTTCTCCTGTTAGAATGAAACAGCATTCAGGTTAAACGACACTGAATCGGTCCCTGAAATCCTCTGTTAGGCGTAGTGGGAGGAGTCACATGGCCTGCAGGTCTTCAGGCTGCTGAGATAAACCCTCCATTTTATTGTACTATACAGTATGTCAGTCAGTGCTGCTTTGTACTGGAGCTTCATACCGAGCTGCTGCTGTGTGTAGGATGTGTGACAGCGGTGAGGGCCTCTACACCTTCCAGACCAGAGAGGGAGAGCAGATCTACCAGAGGGTTCACTCCTCTACACTGGCCATCGCTGAGCAGCACAAGAAGGTCTTGCTGGAGATGGAGAAAAACAGCAGGGTGAGAGCCCGGCCATAACCCATACACACTCATGCGCACACTCCTAAACATGCTTGTCATGTTTCCCAGAGAATGATAATAATGGAATAATGTAGTGGATTCATCTTAAGTTTGTTTCAGGTTTCTTTGCAGACCCCCAGTGGTTCTAAGAGTTCCCTGCTCACTGGATGTCAGTTGTTTTGGGGCAGACTGTACTCTTGTCGAGGCTTTGTATCAAATCTAGTTTTAAGCCCTGAATTATTTTATTTTATATTGTGGTGCACATGTCTGAATAAAATTACAGCTGCACCGCTTTACAGAGCTTTTCAGCTATTTTAAGTTAATTGTTTTGGCGTTAAGGCCCACAGCTTTACTGCTTTGGTTCCATTTCAGCCCCCTATCAGTATTAGAAGCAGCAAGCGGCTGATAATGACACAGACGATACTGTACACCACCAAAATAACAGACAAGAAATGTTAGCAACCAGCTGGTGAACATAGTGGAGCGTCCAGCAGCTAAAGAGCCGGTGGAAACCAAAACAGAGCTAAAAGCAGACTGAATAATGACATTACATTTAGCCGGTGGATCAGGTGCAGGGGTGGGGGTGGGGGATTGGATGGCTGGAAAGAACTCATTGCAATGCAGTAGGAAGCTTGTGCTTTTTATTAAAAAGGAATAATAATAATAATACAGAAACATTTCTGTGAATTAAAATAATCCATAGAAGTGTTAGTGTTTGATGAATTCCTGATGTCCTGTGCATATGTCACCCAGTTGATGTCTAAGGGTTCAGAGCCTGGCTCCTACCCTTGCACCCCCACCGCCATTCTGCCCCGATCTGCTTACTGGCACCACATCACTGGAAACCAGACTGGCCTGGATCCTGGAAACGGTAGGCTTCAAACTAGCATGTAGGCATTTTTTTAAATAACAGCATTCTTGTGTATACTAGACTCCGGTCTGTTTTAATTAAACCTGTACCTAATCTTCTGGCACCAAACTAAAATGGCTAGAGTATAGGCTGTAACCTCCAAATCAGATTAAACCCTTTCATGTGTGCTGTTACCTGTTTCAGTTAAATATAGGTTTTCATCTAGTCTAGATTTAAATAGAAACTGAAATACAACTTTTGATGCAGTTGAGTCTGTACTGGGTTAGTTTAATGGGTGATGCTTGCAAAAAAAATGTTAATATCAAATATTCACTGTTTAAGAGTTGTTTAGTAGTTTATGCTTATTGACTGCCTTTCTGAGAGTCAGATGAGAAAACTGAAAATCTTGTGTATGTGTGTTTAAGTAGGAAGCTGAAGAAAGGACATGGTTAACCTAGCTTAGCATAAAGGCTGGAGGCAGAGTGAACCAGTTATTACCGGCTCTGTCCAAAGTACATAAACATAGCTGTGAGACTGACTAATGAGCATGCTGCGTCTTCTTTGACCAATGATAACAGCTGCGTCTCTGCTGTGTCTTTAGGTGATGCTGCAGATGATGACCTTATGTCCACCCACCTGCCTCCCAACCGCCATGCCACACTGCCCATGGCAAACACACATGCACAGTCCCAACCGCACATACATGCACAGTCCCCGACACACTATCCCACCTACCCTGGACAGTGACACACACACACAGAAAAGATGTGGACCCTGTAAAGGATACATACACACATGCAGGCACCCGCAATGCACACACACTGACAGAAAGACACATCTGTGTTACAGCCCAACATCACACCTCACATGTTGGAGGTCAACTAACTGGCCAACAGGACTGCACATGGACTGGGCTTCCTGACATGACTGCGGCTCCCACAGAACCACAGGAGACAGGGGGTATTTGGCGTTACTCCTCACCCAGGCTTAGGAAGCCTGGCTGACAAATCAGCTTATATTGCCTACTATGTATAGAAAGGACTCTCAGGATGCTTTAACCCACCTAGGCTGTATTACCCGATGTCCAGCAACAGTATATCTAAAGACAGAAATGTTTATACCTGTTTCAAATGGTCACTCTCAAAGGTAGGGTGAAAAGCCTTTGTGAGAACTTTGTGGTGAGTATTTTTTACTAAATTTATACCAGCAGTTGTTATTGAAATTATGGTTTAAAGAGACATCTGGCAACATGAGATACAACACTGTGAAGTAGAAAAACACAGCAATCGCTTCCATTACTTAATGCTGGTCACTCAGCAAGACACCTGCCCAGGTCTCCACTGGTTCTCCTCAGACCACAGCTCAGTGTCTCATCTTCATTATTGTCAAATTAATTCAGGGGTCTGCCTGAGATTGGCAGCTTCCCCTTAAATGATAACATATACAGTGACTACAGAGATATGAAAATAGAAAAAAATTATAATATGTGTATTATTATATCTGATATTTTAAAAAACTGTCCATAATGTTAATGCATTATTCATTTATTATTGGAAACTTTCTATCAGTGTAGAATTCCTGTCAGTTGTCAAGTGTAAAACCTAGTGCATGATTCGTCACATAAAGTGTACAAAGACCTGGCACAGGCTTTTAACTCCACCTTTGAATGTGCTCACCCAAACAGGTACAAACACTTTTGCAGTGTGTTGGGTAACACATCATAGTTTGTCACGTTTGTCTGAAGCATATCAGGTCTTTGCAGACAAACCCACCCTGTTAATGAAGTAGCTGTATCTGGCTAGATTTGGTGATATTTTAGTGCACAATCTACGAAATACCAAATTTTGGTCAAATCTTTACATTTGTGTGTACGGGAGGACTAGCAATGCTGGATTGGATGTTCTGGCTTGAGTTTCTCACCCCAAGAGTTACATAAGATCCAAAAGTCGTTGCGATGGGATTAATGTCAATAAGGCCCAGTGTTGCAGATTAAATACATGAAGCAGGACTTCACGGTGCCTTAATAGCACCACGTGGACTGTGCTGTCATTGGCAATGCACTGACACTCAGAATTCCCATGTGAAAACTCCAGTGTACCATTGCCAGCTGACTTACACAGGACACATAATTACACTGTATGTCCATATCTAGACAGATGCCTTTGATTTTGCTGATGTAAACTGATGTAACTTTGCAGGTACTGGATGCGTTGGGTACGCTGAGGTTCTGAGCTGCGGAATGAAACTGTGACCGAATCTACTTTTATGGACTGGGTCCTGTATTAACTTCAGACTTTCTCTTACACCTCCATGCTTCTATTGAACTATTCTGAGCACAATGTTGTTATTTTATTAGGTTATGAAATGGCTTAGGAGTGGGAGAGGCTTCCAGAGTTCAATAGACAGGGATTTTTGAAAGCCAGTACTGATCCTGGTACTTTTGGATTCAATCTGCCAATAAGTGTTCAGCGTCTTTATATTGCCAGATATAATTAGTCCCTAACCGTTTACTTTTTACTATAGTGACAAAAACATGAAGACTAAAATGGGGAGACTTTACACAAACACAGGAGAAAACCAAAAAACAGCTTCAAACAATGGTGTGCGCAGACTCTTCCAGGGCCAAGATGGAAGTGAAACAAGGGGCATCTCTTTCTCTCATAGGGTTAAGGTCTGAGCAGCACTTGAACTAGAGGGGCACTCACAGTCAGGACGGCACCTAGATGAATGGAGATGGACATTACTTTCAGAAATCACCTCATCTTGAGATAATTCTAGTTTATTACAGCCCAGACTTTTGACCACCGATTAGTAATAACACCACTGTTATTACAGCAACATTGCTCAAAAGAAGCTGGACAGTGCAACAAACACAAAATGTCAAATGATCCAACAAACCTTCTAAAATTATTTGTTAGAGAAAATGAAGATGCAGCAAAATTATTATCTAAACTGTCCAATTTTGACTTTGGGGCTGGCTTTAACTGTTACAGTCCTGACAGAGGATCAAGTTTGGGGCTTGGGTCTGGGTCGGTTATTTTCAAATGACATTTTTTTGCATATTTGTGTCTTTTTCTTTCTGACTGTGAATTGTCAGCGAAGAGCCAGCAGTGGATGAAATAAAGCAAAAATGTAGCTTTGGGTCTTGGGTTGGGTTGGGGTCTCAAATTTGGTACTACCAGGTTCGGTCAGTATGACACAATAAGGCCTCAGTGATGGTCTCAGTTTTGGGCTCAGTCATAACTCCACAGTAATTCTCCTGCCAAATGAGCAATTACAGACAACAATTCAGCTGATTACACATTTGGGTTTACCTTGGTTAAAGCTTAAGAGCATCTGACATCATTCTGACATCTCATGAATTATATTAATGATCATAAGGTTAAAATGACAAAATATTAAACATGCCCAAAAAATAAGTTAGTAAGAACCAAGTTGTAAGAAACTAGAACTGTCCATCAGTAACATCTTCAAAGAGCAGTCTTCCATTAAAAGCTGAAAAGATCAACTTTGTTGTTGTCAAAGTGTATCATAATCAGTGGAGGACACTGAACTAGATCTATGTCTGGCCCCCATTATGCTTACACTCTAATCTACATGTTCTTGTGGCATTCCACAATGAATGATTGTTTGGGTAAATGATTTCCAGTCTTACCATCATTACCTTAAACCTCCCTCCTACCTGTTCCTACCTTGGGAATCACCCAGAGCTGTCTGTTTGACCATTTGAGGAGGTTGCCCAGGGAGAAAGATGGAAATAAAATGTTGCTTTCTAATCAATAAAGCTTCCATTCTATTATATTTTGTCTCACAAAGAACGTTGCTATCCATTTTGTTGGGACTTTAGAGGTGAAGTACTGTGATGATGGGAGAGATGTGTTTAGCATGCAAGGAAAGACAAGAAAGGCTGGCTCATGTTTTTCTCAGCTGTTGTCTCATAGGGGAGGTCATATACTTTGATTGCTTCATTTTGATCCCATCATAAAGGTTTAAGACCGTTGATTTCACAGTGAAGTTTTTATCACCACAATGGAGCACACTGATCTCTTTCACCCCCTTATGAAATGCCTCATGTGTTTCTTGTGTCTAGATCTGATGAAGTTTATTTAATGCAGGAATCTTTATACAACTTAGATTTTATAGTTTATGGTTTGAACATCATTTTAATATGACAGGGCTAAGCATTTCGCTGCTTGTTTACATGATGTAAGTTGTCTATTGTGTGTAGATGTGTGTTTGTGTATGTTATAAGCCTAGTTTGCCACCCTCATAAGAGAGTCTTGTACATATTCTTATTTATTTCATGTGAAATGTGTGTGTGAGAGTGTCTGAGAGCCATAATGAGGGATTATTGGAGCATATGCTCATTTAAACGTGTTTTTGTTCCTTCTAATGTTATACAAGCAGATGGTAGCAGGTCCACACTTTGTCCAGGTGGCTTTTCCCAAATACGGTGTAGTAAGTCTGCACCTGAGTGAACAATAAGAACACATTTACCTTCCTGTCTTCTGTACCATCACCTTTCACAGTGTGAATCTTTTTGGTCTTAAATGAATCACAACCCCGTCCTCTCAGTTTGTGCCACGCTACACTTCTGTTTTTCTTTATTTTGGAAGGAAAGTGTAGTAGAAGGAATCCTTCAGAGGGGTGTTTCATGACGAATACGAACGAGTACAGCAAACACAACCAGGACCAAGCTGTTTCATTAATCCACCTCTGAAAGAATAAGATCAGATTAATCAAATCGCTTGCTTTAAAAAGTTCATTCATGACTTTGAAACACAGACCTGCTGAAACATCAAGCACAGACATCACCTGAATAAAGAAGGCATAATAATAATAATAGTAATAATAATAATAAGAAGAAGAAGAATGGCACTGGAGAGTATAGTACTACTGTCATACAGTAAACAAAGCAAAGGAGATGTTTTGGTTTGTTGTGGACCAGCTGGAAATTCTAACCCTTCAACTCTTGTTACCACAGTTGCAGAGCTCTGGATATAATCATACCATCCTTGTTTCAAATAATGCAAGAAAGTGAAATTTTATTGGTATTATAAATGCTGAAAATCAATTTTGAAGTATCAAATAGGATCCAGTGTAAGGAAATTAGCTGTTTAGTTGAATTAGGCCACTTGACCTGCTTTGCATAAATGACATATGATGAAAGTATAGGGACTAATTAGTTCTCTGTCACTGTTACTTTTAGTATTATGCTTCTAGGCATCTCATTTTCTGTCTGTTTTACTGTAATTTACATTTGCTTTTTTATGTTTCTCTTTCTTTTTTTTTTTTTTACTAAAGTACTGGACAAAGTCAAGAGGTCACCAAAGTTGTAACAGTGTGAAACATTGGCCTGCTGGGAGCACTAGATGAAATGTCAAATTTTGTAGCATGCTGTACATCATCTGGGACCAAGAACGTTTGTACAAAATTTCATAAAAGAGGTGGACCAAACCTTATTTATGAGACTGCATTTCATAAAAGATAAGCCTAATTTACCAAGCTAAGTCCGGCTTTACTTGTGATGTTGTTTTATGAAGCACCCCTTTGATCATACAGGTGACACAACAAAGTACTTGGTGGCAAATGTGACTGATGGAATCAGGATTCTTCCAATGTGATTTGAAAGCACCAGATGGTTGTAGTGTGTGTTTGTGATTGTAGTATTTAATCACAATAACAGTGTCAGCTTTCACCAATGGCTATAACTTTCCCTTGGCTTTATAACCAATGACAAAATGTTGTTTTCATCCATTTACACTCTACACCAAGTGCATGTTTTGGAGAAAAATAAAGTCCATTACTTACTTATTCTTGTTATCTAAAGTTTTTATTGTGTTGTTGGTTGGTTTGTTCACAGCATGACTCAAAAAGTAATGAATGGATTTGAATTACATGTTTTGGAGAAGGGTGTGGCCCATAGAACAATCCATTAGATTTTGATACTGATCTAGAGCATCATCTGAATCCAGGAATTATTTTTTACAGGATTCTTCACCATTGTGAGATAGGAGCAAACTCAGTATTTTTGTTTCTAACTCCATGCACAATGCTTATAAGGTTTGGACTAAATTAGCAAGATAATCACAAGATCTATCACACACAAAGTATGATCTGGATCCAAGTAATAACCCGGGTGTGGTGATGCAGTATGCAGGGCTCACGGAAAAGTCGTTACTGTGAGACAATATAAAGATACAACTACGACTTGCAACTAAGATGAAATTCTAGCTGAAACTCTGCTGATTCAGCAGGGTGTTGTAGTGGCTAAAAATAAACAAGGTTCCAGAGGTAACAGTATGTACTTCATATATAGATATTATTTGTACTAGTTGTGTAAGGGAGAGCTGAGTGGTTATGGGTTCACTAAGTTTATGTGAGCTGAACAATGAGCTTATGTAAGTTGGTCATGATGTTTCCTGTTTTTGAAGTACATCTCAGGGTGTTGTCTCCCGAAACTGGAGACAGGAAGCTAAGTTCAGAAATTGACGTAACAGCCTAAGGAAAGCTGCGGATAAAAGAGTGAGCCTGAAGGGAGGGAGAGAGAGAGAGAGAGAGAGAGAGAGAGAGAGAGAGAGAGAGAGAGAGAGAGAGAGAGAGAGAGAGAGAGAGAATGCTACTGGGACAGTAAACCATGTGCTTTTTGGGGACCCAGCCAGGGGGAGACTGACAACTGACTGTGGGTTGACAGAAAGACTGACTCGTGACCAACAACAACTGACTGGACTGACGCTTTTGACAATCTTCTTATTTAATGCTTTGTCTATCACATTGCAGGAGGAGATCCCCTGTTCTCTGTTTCCCTAACTACAATATTATCTGTTTAAATACTATTCAGAATTATTGTAATATTAAATGATCCTTTAAATCGGGATGGTTTGTCTGAATTAATTTAGTCAGCATCACACTCTAGCCATGACAAACCTTGGCGAGGGGAAGTTGGGAGAATTTTACATTTAATCTCCCATCTTGACTGTCCTCAAAGAATTTGTGTAAAGTGAACCAAATAACTTGTTTTATTCTGACAGGGGGGTGGAAGACTGCTGCGATCATTAACACTAACATCATTACTAATACTGATGTAAATAACTTGCAGGATACATTGATGTTGTTTTTACATGTCTGATGTTTATGTGATTGTGAAACAGCCTATTAGGATTGACAGAGAAAAAGTTATAAGCGGCAGACAGCGGACTGGACAGTGTGAAATTATGAGTTATAAAAGTGTCTGCATCTGTTTAAAGTTTATGGTGAGGCTGTGGAGCAGAGGTCTGTCCTATTTGTGGATTTCCACTCAAAGTGCTTTCTGAATGTGAATAAGTGTGGACTTTAATGTGTGTTTAAACATGTATTTTTTTGGTGTTGTGTAATTGATTGAGATGTGTGTCTGAAGTTAAGGACAGAGGGATGATTGAGAATTGTGTGTATTGCAATTTCTTGTTGTTCTTGTGTCAATTTCATGTGTTTTTAGACTGTTTACTGTGTTGCTGAGGTGAGTATAAGATTTATTTTCTATTTTTGTGAAACAATGGGTATGGGGGGAGTAATTCTCCCCCTCTTTGCTCCGTTTGTGTGTGTGTTCTGCTACCTACTTCCTGTATGATATGTGTGTGAGCTGCTCACTCTGTGAATGTGTGTGTGTGAGAAGGTATAGCATTTATTAACATTGTGTAAATAAGTAACTGTGTGTGTGTGTGCTGGTTGTTGTTGTTGTCTTATAATATGAGAAATGCAGCCAATTTGGGTGTTAAAACGTCTGGGCAGACAAACCTGTTTGGAAAAGCTAAATGACAGACCAGTTTGGAGAAGCTAAATTGTGAGTTATAAATAATAAGCGTGTCTGGTAAATTGTGTGTTATGGCTGCAAAGCAATTTTTGTACTGCTAGTGGGTCTACAGCCATTTTGGAGCTCAAAGAAGTCGTGACTCCATCTGGATAGGCCAATCATATGTTAAGGTGACTGGTAAAATTATAAGAGAATCTGTAGTAGCAGACAAACTTGCATCCTCGCAGTTACCGTTTCAGTTAAATTCGTTTGGTGTATTAACAGGTTGGAGAGTAATAAATTGAATTAGTTTAACTGCGAGGGAAATGACGCTAGGTCTCGACCGGACTTGATCAGCCGGTTTGGGGCTAGCCTGCCTCCCGGGGCACTGGTCATTTGTTTCTGTTGGCCAAGTATAGTGAAAGCCCAATTAAAGCGCTTTTTGTAAATAATCTGGACTTAAATGTGTTTGTTTGACTACAGGATGTGTTGTAAATGGCTTC